GGCCTCTCGCGGCGCCCTGTGCCGGCGTGAGGTGAGGCCGGGCCCGGGGCGGTTGCCGAGCGGCGGTTGGGTTGCGTCCGCCCCCAGGGGCGGCCGGCAAACAACGGCGAGCGGTGAGGGGAGCAGTCCTGCACCCGCCCGGCAGCGGGGAAGCAGGCCCGGCCGGGGGGTGCCCCCCGAACACTGCGGGGGAGGGCAGACCCGCCCGCAGACTCGGGGTGCGGGAGGCAGTTTCACCTTGGCGTCATCTGATCGTGCCCGAACGGGCGAAACCGCGGTGAGCCGCTGAGGACAGCGAATCGCTTCGATTCGTTTTGGAGTTGGGCTGAAAGCCTGGAGCTTTTTGTATTTAGTGGGGAGCGAGTAAGGAATGGTCTTGTGTTACGGGTTCAGGCCATTCGCTTTCCAGTTTGTGATTCGTTTAATTAAATGTCAAATGCTGGCGGACAATCTGCTTTGGGACGTACTTGTTCTGGCAGATACTACAGACAGTAAGACATGAGTAAGTCAAGAGGATTCACTTCTCCTACAAACTCCTTCTTAGATCTTTTTTTCGCATAGGTCGTGCTGGTGCCCTGAGTTACCAGTAGGTTGGCTGTCTGCCTCAGTGAGATTTTGTGGGATACCTTGTCAGGTGGAAATCTGCTGTGGCAGTAACCAGAGCGGTTCGTCTCTGGTGAAGGAGCCAGCTGGCCTGATCTGGTGTGTTTACCTGGTGTGGAGTCAGAGGGATCCAAAGATGTGTAACTGCAGAACAAGTTAGAAGGCAGCACTGATCTGGTGAAGCAGATAATTTAAACGTAGTCCATCCTTTAAAGGCAGCGACACCCTCGTATATGCTTGCTTAGAGACAGGTGAAGTGAGAAACCTCTCATTGAGAGCTAACCTTGTGAAATCATTTGTTCAGATAAACATATCAAATTTTTGATGACTGCAACAGTCATTTGTAGTTGTATAAACATCTGTATTTGTTTGAAGTGAATTTACAGAAGACACAGAAACAGCTAAAGAAGGCGAGGTCACCGAGAACTGCCAGTCATGCATGTGTGAAGAAGTTAACAGTGAGGAAGGAGATGATGATGATGACGACAACGATGATGACGGGGAAGATGAAGACTGGGACTGGGATGATGAGGTGGGAAGACTCATGAAGCGCCACAATGCTGCTGGTGGATGCAATCCACAGGTATGTTGAAGGCTATTTTGTGGGCATCAAGGGTGTCCAAGAGCAAATGGGGTTAACCTGAAGGCTTTGTTCTTTATTAGTGTTATGTTGAGCATAAATGCAAATGGAAATTTTTACTTGAGAGAATCCCCTTCCTTTGAGTCTGATCCTCTGCCATGCCATGTGTGTATGTACGTCGTAGCCAGGGCTCCGCTTGATTTCCTTGTCTCAAACCTTATCACTGGATTCTCTTTGTCACTGCAGTTTTCTTTCTGTTCCTTACCTTTCTCAACTTTTCTTTCTTTGCCCACCCCAATCTCTACTGATGTTGCTTACTTTTTTGTATTTGTCCTCTGTGTTTTTAAGCATCTTCCCCATCCTTTCTATCTGATTTTAAGACCACACCTGCTTGTCACACCCAGAGTGAAACAGGTTATGTTTTGGACTAATGGCGAGGGAGGCAAAAGCAAGCATAGGAGATGGAGGGAGGTGCTAGAAATGAATTAATTTAGAGTATATGCTGTTGGCATAGAAACTGGCATTGTGCAGAATGAAAAGCACAGGTGATGTGAGAACTAACATCCTTCTTGCCTTCAGCTTGTACACTGGAGGTTCAAAACTTCTTTTTTTCTTATTGATACCAACATAACAGAATAGTTGAGATTAGAGTGGTGCTGATCATGGCATATCATGTCTGACTCACAGCACTTGTCCTGGGTAATTTATTCTTGCCTTTAGTTAGAGGTTTATGCTGTCCAGTGTTGGTGAAATCACGTTCAGATACTAATTGTGTTTGGAGAAGACTACCTGTAAGAAAAGACAGCATCTTGGAAAGTTTTCTCTCTTTGTTAACCTTCTCATTTTTCTCCTTGTTTCTGTCTGCTATGTCACTTCCTTTTACAGATAGAAAAAGTGTTAATATGAGAGACTTGCAGCTCAATTCCCAGACTAAAAATAACCCCGAATTGAGGCACTTTTTGGAATTTTAACTGATATGTCACCTGTATTTTCTTTTATTGAATTAAGTAAAATCTGATGTTAATCCGTATCCATTTCCTCACCCTTTCTGGTTTTCTTTTTATAGTTCTAGGCATAGGCATTTGAGCTAACTTTTCCAATGGGCTGTTTAGAGAAGGCAACTTATATCGACAAATCCTTTGTTTCAGGCAAATAGACAGACCCCTAGTTGCTATTCAGCAAAAATGTCTACCCCTACAGACAAGGCTTTAAGGAAATTTGAACATAAAATTAATTTAGGTGAGTATAATTGCATTGTCTTCTTTTATGAAAACAGATACCATTCTGTGACATTCTTGGACTAATTCTGCTTACTTTAAGCCAGAACTCACTGGAATGGCAGTTATCCATTTCCAGACAGATTAAAAAATGGCATTTGCGTACTTGGAAGTTGCCTTTAGTCTCCATTAACCAGCTGTCATACCCCCTTCAATCCCCCTTTAGAGCCACAGGGCTGTTTTGTTTGGGTTTTTTGGTTTTGTTTTTTTTTTTTTTTTCCTTCCCTTTGACTTCTCCAGAGCACATAAAGCTGAAATATTTCTTCCCTAGCTTCTCTGTAGGAGCAAGCTGTTTGGCTGGAGGCAGTGTATCAACTCTCTATTGTGATGATGTTGGTCATTCTCAAAGCTGCTACCATAGCTAATTTTTCTAGACTATTGCAGTCCCCTGTAGTATTAGGGTGGTACCTTATGCAACAGTTATCTCACAGGGGTAGAGTTTCTGTGATAAGCAAAGAGGCTGCTGTCCTAGCTGATGTAGTTTGATGTTTACCATGTCATGGAAATGGCTGCTCAGCTCAGCCTGTTAGGGCTTAGATGTAGCTGTGATTGTGGCCTTTGACAGGGTAGTAAACAGAGGTTGTGTTTTTCTTTATAATGAAGTTATTCTAAAATGAAGGTTTAAAAGAGTGGTGCTGGTATATGTAGCCAAATACAGCAGCTTTTATACATTTAGCAATTGATTAACACCATTTTAAATACATCATGGGGAGAGAATCCTGGAGGCTGTTGCTTATTCTGTTCGGAAAAATGGCATTTGATTGTGATAAGAGAAGGGTAGACAAATTTAATGGTGAGATGTTATCCAAAAGGCATTACTTCTGGATGGCATTATATCTCCAAGTCTGTGGGACTGTCTCACTCATCTGTGTTTTTACCTTATAGTACCACTTTGAAAAGTAGACAGAGGGGAGAGCTAGGTTAACTCTGGTATGTAGCTAAGCTTCTGTGCTTGCTACAGAGAGCTCCGCTTGTGTTTTAATATTGTGTTGTGGCATATCGGCTGGTGGCAGAATTGCAGGGGCAATTCCAAACATAGGAAACTTCTTGGAGTTTTTTTTTTGTTGTTTTTTATTTCTTCTTATGTGTTTTTCAGATAAGTTAAATTTTGATGACTCTGTTATAAACAGAGTCACAGAAAAGTCTAGACAGAAGGAAGCAGACCTGTGAGTATTACTCGTGGTTCTATTTTCATTTAAATAATTTGAACCCAGAAGAGTAGTTCTTATTTTCTAGTGTGATCCTGAGTTTTGAATAAATTTATTAAGAAAACCAAAATTTGTAGGTAGTCTGCATGCAATTTTCCTTTTGGTCTTAAACTTTTTGGTTTCCAGATCAGTTGCCTGAATCGTTCCAAACTTTTGATTCTTCTGTCACTGCTCCTGGTAGCACATCTGATTGTATTGGTGTAGTAAGACAGAAGTGATAGGTGTCATTCCACTAGAAGAGACTATTTTATCTCTGATAGTCTTTTTTCTAAACAGAGGTCCTTAAGCAGTTGGGCTAAAAAGGTATTGGAAGCCTTTTGAAGGTTCCGCCTGATGAATTGGTGAGGGAAAAGTACTTCTTCATTAAATTTTTTTAAAGCCTCCAGCTTATAACCTTAAGTTGTTAAGACATATACTGTTTTCTCCTGAATGAGCATAATTCAGTGGAGGCAAGAAGATATCTATAAAAGTGAAGGGCGCTGATGTTTATGGGTTTCTTTTTTTTCTTTTTTTTTTTAACCCTGCCTGCAGGGGAAACCTTTGCTTTTGTATGAACTGAAAGTCATACTTCTTGAGGCTGTCATCTTATATTTGATACAGAATGTCGTGTTTTACTCTGTCAAAGTACTGAGTCCATATGTGGGATTGTATAATTTTATTTTCACTTCTGCTAGGTACCGAGTCAAAGACAAGTCAGACAGAGCAACAGTAGAACAGGTAAGTCCTTAATTCATCAAATTTCTCTTTTGACCAGAACAAATAATGTAGAGTTTTGGAATCAGTGATAAAATGGATACTGTAGGAACAGAGTTTTGCCTTGGAATTCTGTTTCCCTTGTTATCCTGAAGAGACATGTTGTTTCTTTATGTTTCTTTCCTGTATGAAGGTTGTACTTGCTTCCATAAACATTTTGAAGCTTATTTTTTGTGCTTAGCATTGTGATTTGATCATATATGCAATGCAGAATTCCATCTTAAGTTTTTTTGAAATTCTAAAGTACAATAAAGATGTGCTGGGTTTGCTTTTTACTTTTTTTCTTTAGCAAGACTGAACTATTACTGGCCCAATGCCACATAGCTGCTCTATTTCAGTTATGACAGCTGTATCTCAAAAGAAGCTTTATTTTAACACATTTAATGCAACAGTGGGCGGGAAATCATTCTCTTTTATCTCTTCTAGAGCTAGCTCAAGGACATATGCTTAGCTTAAAAAAAAAAGTAATCATGTTGAAAGCAAAATTGAAATATTGTTTTAGAATCATGGCAAAATTCTGAGTGGTTGCTGTTTGGATTATTGTTTGATCCTTAAGAATGGTCTGATGCTGTGGGTCCCTTAGTACAGTACTAAGACTGGACTGTATTACTAGGTTTTGTCCTCTTCAGAGACAGCAATTCTGCTGACTTTTCTGTATTAAATTTGAGGTGTTGGATCCAAGGACCCGAATGATTTTGTTCAAGATGCTAACTAGAGGTGTCATATCAGAAATCAATGGCTGCATCAGCACAGGGAAAGAAGTAAGTTTTATTAAAAGTGACATAATAGTCTTTTTCTCAGCAAGCTAGGTGGAAGCTTATGGTGCTCGGAAGATGTATTGGAATGCCTGGTTTTAGTACTACTTTTTTGTGTGTGTGTTGCTTGATTGGTAGGAAGTTATCTTAAAGTGCAATTTATGTTAAAGGAAACAAGTTTGCCCAAGTATGAAAGATTTCTCAGAATATTTAAATGTTATCTTAAATTTGTGGATCTTGTTAATTGTATGTTACAACTGAAATTTTTGGAAAGGGTATGTGTACACACAATATTAAACAGTGCCTGAAAAAACATACAAACCCAGGTAATTCTTTCTTCATGCAAGACTCTCTTGTGTGCAGATCAGACTGGCTCTACATGACAGCAGACATGGGAGTATCTAAATGGTGTAACAAAATTCTGTTTAAAATACCATTAAACCTTCATTATTTTTACAAAACTAGCATGTTTGTGTGCTGTTATTATCAAGTAACATTGCAGATAATTAAAACCAGACCACAGATTTCCGAATGAATTAATAAATCAGTTTTAGAATGCCTAATCCCTTGGCTGATCTGGTTTTCTTCCAAGTCCTTGGATGCTGATTAAAGGCATACTTCTGCCGTGTGTAGAGGTGTCAATGTGAGGTATTTGGGCCATGCTTTGGGGCCTAGATAGTGCACAGGCTCATATTAATCCTTCACACAAGGGCTTGTTTTAGTCTCCAAAATGTGGATAAGGGAGAGTTCTCTTGTGCATTGTTGTTTTTGTCCTATATGCATTGTCACACCCCTACCCAGTCTTAGGTACTTCCTGTAAGCTGCCTCTGGTAGAAAAAGAGATTGCCCTTGTGTGCAGTCTCACTCAGCTGGGTACCACATAGGGGCTGGGGTGAGAAAGCTTATCAGATCTTTTCCAGGATGTCAGAAAACGAAGAAGAGAGAAGGTTATGTTGGTTTAAAGAGTTTTTCTTTAATATTATTTCTTCCCTTCATAATCCGATAGGCTAATGTATATCATGCCAGTACTGCGAATGGAGAGAACAGAGCAATAAAGATTTACAAAACCTCTATTCTGATGTTTAAAGATCGGGATAAGTATGTGAGTGGTGAATTCAGGTGAGTTTGACTTCTGCCTGGTTTTACTGCGGAGGAGGTGGTGTTTGAAAGGTGGTAAAATCACCAGTGCTAATACTGTATTGGTTGGCTAAGAGTCGCTGTTGTCTTATTTCTTTATTTAAAGATTTCGTCATGGATATTGCAAAGGCAACCCAAGAAAAATGGTGAAGACATGGGCTGAAAAAGAAATGAGGAATTTAATAAGGTGATTCTTCCAGTTTTTATTTCAGCATGCAAAGGTAACTGAAACTTTAAGTTTATAGGAGGTATTCTCCTATTGCTAGACTGTGGCTATCACTACCTTTTAGGGTCTCTGGAATATTCAGGAAAGTGTCTTAAGCTTCCCTGTGGGAGGAAAAAGAAAGGGGAGGGAGGAATAAAGATATTCTTTTGTCTTGCTGCTCATGCTCTAAGCTCTTCGATGTCTGAACTCTCTGACATGACTGAAAAGCGAGGAAAAGCTAGAAATAGCTGCTGCTGAGTAACAGCACACTGTGTGATACAGGTTAATCTAGGATTAACCTGAACCATGTAAAGATTCTTTGTCTGACAGAGGAATGCTTAGAGAAGGGTCAGAGCCAGAATGGTTGTGGCTTTTTGTATTCATTTCCTAGTTGTTCTTAACAAGTGAGAGTTTCCTGAATAGAGGAGCTCTTGTTGTGCATTATGTTTAAAGCAACAGAGCTCCTATAGGCACTAGTGCAGTGCAAATAGTAGAGTTTGGTTTTATTTTTTTGTGGCTTTGTTGCTATGTTACAGGTTGAATACAGCCCAGATACCTTGCCCAGAGCCAATTATGCTAAGAAGTCACGTGCTTGTCATGGGCTTTATTGGTAAAGGTGATAGGTAAGTATCCTTCGAAAATCAAATATTTTTTTTTATTAGTAGCTTTCCACAAAGGTTTATTAAAACAAACAATCCAACCCTCTGAATTTACCTTCTATTGCTTTAGGCCTGTAAAATTAATATGTTACTCTTACGTGTGTGTGACCTGTAGAATACCCAGACACGTGCCAGCTACTACTGCAGACAATCTGCATGATTCTGAAGCCTCAGTTGTGTGCAAAATGAATTTGTAAAGTGGCTTAACCAGAGATTAAGGCTGGAAAAGCTTGCTTAATAATACATGAAGATAGCTCATCGTTTTGTAGTACAACCATTAATGTAGCGTGGTCCAAGTTAGCTCATGTTGGAAACAAAGCTCCAGTATCTTTGGCAACCATATACCAAGCTTTGCTGCCCTTCATGCTGGCTCTGTGCGCTTAGCTGCTCATGCTGACTTGCTTGACAGACTTAGTGAGCAGAAGGATCAGGTACAGCGATTAAAGCATTTGCAGCTGGTATGAAGAAGGCAAAAATATTCACTTTCTGGTTTTTGTGTTGTGATTTCAAGGCCTGCTCCTTTGCTGAAGAATGCTCAGTTATCTGACTCCAAAGTTCGGGAGCTGTACCTGCAAATCATCCAGTACATGAGAAGAATGTATCAAGATGCCAGGCTTGTTCATGCAGATCTCAGTGAATTTAATATGCTGTATGTTTTTAAACTGTGCTCTGAATTGTGACATCTAAAATGTATGCATTGGCAACCTCTGTGTGAGAGTACTAATGTACCTTTAAGGGAGGGTGGGGTCCTTTTTGTGACTGGGTTTTGTAACTTAGTTAATTATGTAGCTTTTGACCCAGATCTGAGCTTTCTCTGTTTTAAAGAAAAAAAACACAAAAAAAATCCAAACAAACAAAAACATGACAATAAAACCCCAAACAAAAACCCCTCACAAACAAACAAACAAAAAAAAACCCCTCGACTAGAGAAAAAATTAGTAAGGTATTTTTTTTTTCTTTTTCTCCCCTTACCCATAACTCTGCTTTTTGTGTTCACAAGAAGGCTATTTCTTTAAAGTTTAATAATACAGCTTGTGTAGAGGAGGGAAAGGATTGACCCAGAAAAGCCACTCTGGCCCTAATATGCGAGGTGTACACTACAGAAATATGTTAAGATTGTTTGGTGATTCTTAAGTTTGAAGCATGCTTTGTTGCCTGCCCCTCAATATCTCCCATATAACAGTGGTGGAGTTAGTGCAGCTCTGTATGGTGGTTTTGCAGGTACCACAGCGGGGATGTATACATCATTGATGTGTCTCAGGCAGTGGAGCATGACCACCCGCATGCGCTGGAGTTCCTGCGAAAGGATTGTGCCAACGTTAATGGTGAGTGGGCTGCACTTACAACTCTTGTTCTGATAGCTGGTTTATTTAGGAAGGTGAACTATGTTAACCTGTGTTCTTTCAGGTATAACTGTCTGTAGAAGCTGTCAAACTTCAGTTAAAATGCTCCTTCTCCTGGGTTCTGATGGCTTCCTTGGGGAGCAGTGTACTGTACTAAGTTCAGAAAAGTGTACTCTATTTTGCTAGAAATCATCGGGACGAAATGAGTCACCTGGCTGAATCTCAGATTTATGATAGATCTGAGACCAGTCCCAGCTTGATTAAAGAGCAGTCCCAGTCTGCAGCAGCACCCACCGCAGTCTTAACTTCACTTACTTAAAGGACTGCGCGGGCATAGTGATCTGTTTCCTTCTGTAAGTGGAATCCACATCTGGAATTCCTCAGCTGGCAAGAAGTTACCATGTGTTATGAAGTTCTCTGCACTTACTTGTCCAGGTCAGCTGAGAGTATTGAGGCATAGAGTAATTTATTAGAGGTGTTATCACTTGTCATAGTGCTTTGATAAACAAGGTACCTTTATGGTGGTTTTTTTTTTTTTTTTTAAATTTCGTCCTCATGTGTGAGTATGCATGTTATGTAACAGACACACATCTCCTGGTAGGCTGTGTTTCTCTCTGTGGACAAGAAATCTGTCACTGCAGGCTGCTTTTCTTGCCCCTTTCTTTTCAGATTGGCTTTTTTCTAATTTTACAGAGACTCTTGAAAGTCTGTGGAACAACTGTGTGCATTTAGATGCTATGTGTTTGTTGATGCCCAGTATGCTAGTTTTTCTTTATTCCTTTTCCATTCATGGATTTCTAATAATTCCCTTCCAGCTCTGATACTTGCATCTTTGCTCTTTTTTCATGTCTTTTGGCTTGCTCTCCCTAGATATTTTAGTGCCTCAGTGAGCTGCAGTGGTTTTGTTGTGTTTTGTTTGTTTGTTTCCTGTCACTGCAACTTTCTCTGTGTAGTCCTCCCACAAAGACAGCCCTAGCTGTGAGCATTGCAAGGCTTGGGGTTCCATGGGCACAGCGAGCTGCCTCCAAATGAAATCTTTTTGTTCTTTCTATGATTAATTTCTCACGGTGAGAGATCTTCTGAGAACTTTAGTAGGAAACACTTATTAAGCAGTCCTCAATGTCTTTTGCTGCTGTTTTTCAGTACAGAAGTGTAGCCTCCAAATTTGGTTACACTTGATTCAAGAAACCAATTCTGAGTGTAGTACTTAGTAGTTCTTAGCCTCTACTTCATTAAGTCTGGCTCCTGCTGAAATTGATTTGGCTTTTGTATTTAACCAGTTATTCTCCTTTCAGTATTTGTTGCATCTGGAATATGAGCAGTTTTATTTCAGATGGCCAAGAGTCATCTGATAACTAAACCCAATATGATGCAGTACATGCTGCTGAAACTTTCCCAAGTCATCAGGGCCATTGGCTTGCTGTAACTGTCACTTTAACATCACAGCTGCATATGTTACACATAATTACTTATGGTTTTTGTCTCCCTCCTTGTTTCCTGGTAGACTTTTTCCAGAAGCACAGTGTTGCAGTGATGACTGTGAGGGAGCTGTTTGAGTTTATTACTGATCCTTCTATCACAAGTGAGAACATTGATGACTATCTGTCTAAGGTAAGACCTCATGGTCTTATTGCTTATGTAGGAAGACTTGAACAATAAAATCAGATCTAGTTCAAGCTCCTTCATCTCATTTACTCTACATCCTGCTTTTGAAGGAAGCTGGTACCCGACATGTTATGCTATGTTGTGCTTCAAAAGTGCATACAGGTCTTTTCCATTTATACCATTATAGGTTGACAACAATTTTGTTCTATTTTTTCTTAAAAAGTCTAATCATGAAAACTCAAATGTCTGTTTCAGGTGCTACTAAAACCAGGATCCTTTAAAATAGTTCTGTGGGTTTTGGCAAGAAGAAGCTCTGCAGAAATATAACCATGCTTATATAGAGTATGGGGTTAAGCATGCAGATTTGGGCAGGGCAGGCTGAGGGAGGAAGGGAATGACTTGGGGCAGTGTTACTCCAAGGTACGTGGTCTTGCTAGGCAAATATAGCAGCTGGCAGAACACATTGATTCTAGGAGGAGGTAAACTTAGTGCTGCTAGCAGCACCCCTGTATTTCATCTCTAGCTGCCAGTCCTCTGCTCCCAGTTAGATGTTTCTTTGAAAAGGGAGGGGGAAGAAAAAAAAAGCTTTTTAAGTTAACGCAAGAGAAATGGGGCTGCATATGCCATGATCTCCAGAGTGGAGATCTGATGTGTCATTCCTGGTCAAGACCACGTGAATGTGGTCCAAATACAAGTACAGCATGGGGATTTCCAAATGTTGTGTACTTTCTGTCATATTGGAGGTTGAATGAGACAAGAGCTGCTGCTACATGTTTCCCCTTACTTGTGCTCCTCTGACTTGCTCAACGTGCATGAGAACAGCCAAGTTCCAGGACTGAGCACTGCTCGCTGTATTCTCCTTGCGCTGTTATGTCCTGTAGTCATGCTGGGCCTGCCATAATTTGGTCTGGGAGGAGCAGCAAGCATGTTTTCCCTCTATTAATAAAGCAGATCTGCAGTTCTAAGTGTGCTTTGCAGAAATGTTGGTTACCATTAGGTGTCGCTCAAGGCGTTGCCATAGGGAAAGCAGGAGTATTTGAGTGACAGTATGGAGTCCAGGGAGAAACACAGATGGGAATGGTTAGTTGGATTAAGTGATGCGATTCTGAAGAGTGATAACTTTGTATTGTTTTATATTTCTTTAGGCAATGGAAATAGCATCGAAACGAACAGAGGAGGAAAGATCCAGTCAAGATAAAGTGGATGAGGAAGTAAGCGAGGATTTTTGTTCCTGCTATGAAATTAAAATTAACCTTGCCTCTTCTAAACAATGAAAAATGTTCTGTTTTACTTGGCAAAATGTACAGTTGATAAGCAAAACATTGTTTGTGATAATGAGATGTCTTGAACGAGTTGAGATGTGAAGTATTAAGGGATACCATGTGTAAAAGCTGACAGTGATAAGGTGTTAGAAGGCAAATACTCTACTTCCTGAACCAAGATGTTTGCTTGTAGCTAGGCCCCTTGATGTATCTTCCAGTTCGGGTTCAGTTAACAAAAAAACTGAGTAGAGAGATCTGATTATGCCAGTGTTTTTGGACCAGTGATACAGAAGTAGGATATTTGGATACATGCATTAACCAAATTGCCTGTCTAGCTCCAGTCCTAGTCTAATTCAGTTCTTCCATGTACTGTTTCTCTCCCTTGCTTTTACATTAAGTGAAGCCATCTCAAGTCCATTACAGAAAACTGCTAACGTTCTGGAAAGGCTTGATGTAAAGATGAAACAATTTCTATCTTAGTCTTATCTATCGGTTCCAGAAGAGTTTAAAAAAGAAAACCAAACAAAAACTGAAAAAAAACCCCAAAACCAAAACACCAACTCTGTGTTGAGCAGTGAGAACCTATTTGTACTGGTTCACATGGTGTTTATCTTTGGAGGCAATACTACTTGATTTATTAAAGATTTTTCGTTTTCTCTTGGAGCTCTGCAGGTTTTACTGACTGCTTCTGGCTCAAGCTTGGCCAAGGAAAGATGTTTTTGGGGGTTTGGGGGGGGTGGTTACCTAAGATATCCTCAGCATACAACTTCTGAACTATAGCGTCAGATGCCAGTGTTTCTTTGCAAGCCCATCTTTTGCAAACCAATTATTCCTTTGCTTATATAAAGGTACTGACCTATAAGAGAGATGGTTTAGTAGCATCTAAGTTCAGTTTATTTCTCTTACGCTTCTCATGTGACCACAGCTAGTTTGTGTCACTTCCTTCACAAAAGAGTAGTGCTGATTAAGGGCAAGCTCTGTGGAGGTGGGAGCCTCTGCTCTTTGCATAGCACTTAGTCTAGCAGTTATGATCATAAAGTGTACTGAATTTGTACTGGGGTCAAACCGATACCATGAAAAACAGAAGCAGAATACTTCTTTTTGATCTAGTAGTGACTTAAGTTTGCTGGAGAACTGTTTCAAAAAGACTGCATGACAAATTTTAGGTATGTTGTTGTTGATACTGCAGTTAGGTTTACTGTACTATACTGCTGCAGGAACCTTTTTTGAGTTGGACTGTAGGTTGAAGCAGGTATTATTATATAAAGAGATTAAGTTCTAACAGCACATTTTAACAGAGTTGCCTCCTGAAGGCATTGTAAACATCACAATAAAAACATCAGAGAAAATCCTTAGATTATAAAACCTTAGGACTCAAATAGGTCAAGAGAAAGTTGGAAGGATTGGAGAAGTTTACAAGTGGCCTGGTGGTAGTCATGCTAAGGATGGAGCATTGTTAGTCATGATCTATCAATAATGTGTAGGTTGCATGTTAATTCTGCTCCTGCAAAAAAAAAAAGGATATGCTGCAGTTCAAATGGTAGTGGATGACTGCTGTGTTCATTTTTAGTTTCTCTGAGCCATGAAATCCTTTATGATTATTCTCTTAAGGATGCATAATTAGGAAGGAAGAACATAATGAAACTATATGTAAATTAGTAAATCTGTGTTTCCTTTCACTCTGCTAGGTATTTAAGAAGGCTTACATACCTCGAACTTTGACTGAAGTTAAAAACTATGAGAGAGATGTGGATATAATGATGAAATTGAAAGAAGAGGATATGGCATTGAATGTTCAGCAAGATAATGTGAGTAGCCATGCTGAGGCACTGGAAAAAAGAGGGAGGGAATATGAATTCTTGCTAGAAACTGATAGCAACAAACAAAACCAGAAGCCTTGTTACCAAGGCGTGGAGTACTGAATCTAGTGTCATACTTCAAAATCGTCTGGTTAGTACTAATGCTAATGTTGTGGGTTTTTTCCTGTTTGTTGGGGTTTTTTTGTTTTTTGTTTTTTTTTAAGATAATAATTTTCTCTTGGCATGAAGATTTAAGACTCATATTTTGATAATGTGATTTTCTTTCTCTTTCCCTGGGTGTAGATTCTCTACCAGACTGTGACAGGACTGAAGAAGGATTTGTCTGGTGTTCAGAAGGTGAGAGGGTCTCTTTGAAATCCTTCAATTTAGTCGTTTTCAGAAAAGCTCTTATAAGGAGTACAGAAAATGCCTTGTCTTGCAGCTGACACCATGAAAGAAGCTTCTTGTCGGCGTTGTGGCCATTTATGTCTGGGATGGGTCTGGCATGACAGTGTGTCTGCACACCACATGAATTGCTTCCCTGCATGGTGGCTGATGCTGGGTTACTTGAGAATGAAATGATAATCCTTGCTATGGCCATGATCTCTAAAATTTAGGTGGAGAGGAGGGAAGATGTTTTCCAATTATGGAAAATGTAATTGATTTAAGTTGTAGCATGACTACAAGTTTTGTTATGTTCAGAGTAGCTTTGCTGTAATTATTGTTTAAAGAACAACCCTGCAGTATAAGGCATAAGATATTATGTCTTACTATATTTTAAGTACTTGACAGTGACACTTCTGTAAAGTATGTTGGATAAGAATTTGAGTACAGATCAGTCTGTCGCAATACAATTCAAGGCGGAAGCCTTATGTGGATTTCCCCTCCTTCCTTTGTAAATGTTATCTAGCAGTGGTGTAGACTCTGTTTTAAAATGGAAATATAAATATGGATGGGATCAGGCTGTGGCACAGTCTTCAGGCTTAAGAATAAGTGAGTTTCCCAGTGTAGATATTTGTATTTGCAATAAAGCCTACATAGAGTGCCCCCAAGGTAGAGTTAGGTATGATCCAAATATAATTAAAAATTGGCTTCCACGTAAATTAGCAAATTGCTGCTTAACTTACGGAAATTAGTTTGGGAGTGCCAATACAGCTGTGCTGTGAGCCCTGACCTAAAAGATTCTGTGGTGTACATTCTAGATTCCTCGTTCTTAGTTTGGATTAATCTACTTTTCATTCTTTTTCTTGAGACTCAGTGATGGCTGTAGTAAAGGAGATGGCAGAAGCTCGCTCAAGGTTTTCTTTGTAGTAGATTGATTTGTTTTATATATATATATGTGTGTGTGTGTATTGTCATTAGGCTTCTTTGTTTTGGTTTGATATAATTCTCTCTTGATATATCTTGCAGATTCCTGCACTTCTTGAAAAGAAGGCAGATGAGTCAGAAACGGACTCTGATGATGATGGTGGCAGCTCAGGGGACTCCGATTTGGGCTGTAAAGAATCTGTACATCCCAAAGATAAACCTGCTGAAGTTAGCATGGACAAAAAGGTCAGCTGGCCAGGAATTGTTTATTTTTCCCACCTCTGCCTATGTGACAGGAAAAAAATCCAAACTTAGTTCTGAGTGGTTCTTGCTGCTACTTGTCTGAAACAAGGTATGGACTTTTCCTGTTGTGGAGAATGAGAGCAGAGAAAGTGAATTTCATTATGGATGCTTTATGAATTGTATTTTTATGTAGAGGAACATGTGACATAGCTCTCTCTAGCCTAGACAAAGCTAGAAGAGGGATCTCTGCAGGGAGTTCTAAGGCTATGCAAAGCAGGAATTTAGTGGAGCCTAGGCAGCTTTTCAGTGCCTCTGGCTACTCTTCTAGGCTTTGTTATTCAGGTTTGTGGTCATGGTCCCTGATTAACCTCCTTTTGCCCAGGGAACTGAGACCACTTGATCTATAGAACTAGAGACTTGGTGACAATGTTTGTACCACAGTGGCTTTTGCAGTACCATTAGTACAGACTGGCTAGCTTTGCTGTGGGCAAGAGATGTAACACAGTCATGCAAAGGGATTATGGTTTGCGTTTGGTTGGTTTTTTTTTTTTAAGGTTTCATTTTCCAAACTGCAGAACAAGTATGCTCTGTTTTGGTGAGGCTCTTCTGCAGAGTATCACCCATGGGCGAGAGCCTTTTGGCAGCCTTTTAGGTGCTGTGCAAAAGAAGGATGAAACTTGCTGGGCTTAAGGAGTTCAAGATTTGGGGGTTTGCTTGTTAGGCTTTTCTTCCTAGAAAAGGTAAGATAATATATTCCCTATCTATCAGATAAAAATGTAGTACTCTTCTAGATACTTACTGCTGATCTAGAGCTGCTGCCTTTCAGATGTGAAGCAGGGAAGTCTTGGTCACTTCTCATCCTTATGCATAGGTTTTCATTTGGACTTCTTTTTGTGTGAATAAGATGACATTTTTGGTAACCTATGTGTTCAGCTGTAGGTTGAACAACTGATTAGCAGCAATTACTTCCACCCCTCACCCCATTACGCTGACTTTGCATTTTCCATTTGAGTGTAGTCTCTTCACTGTCTGGCACAAATTATAGTGTGTTGCAGTAGCATAGCACCCTTTCTTGCCAATCCTGGTGATGATCAGCTTGCTCTGAGTTACCAGCAGTTACTGGATCAGTATTTTTGCATGACATATAGAAACACATACTATAGTAGCCCCGAGGGTAGCAGAAAACCTAGATCAGGTATCCTGTTGTAATCTTAGGTGTAAATAGCATGAGTTAAGAGTGCCTCTTGTTCCCTTTCTTCAAAGGTTGCATGAAACTCAGGTTTTAACTAGTCTGAATTTTGCCTTGTCATTACCAGTGTGGAGCTCTTAGCTCCACCCCCAACCTATACTTCTTTTTCCTTTCCCCTCACCATTCCTATTGATGGGTTTTTTTCTTTTTTATTTCTTCCTCTTGATAACCTCATTTTTATGTGGTGCATTAATTAACTCGTTAATGGAACAAATGATTGACCTGCTCAAAATCTCTCATTCCTTCTGGCTTTAAATGAATGGTGTTTGGTTCTTTATAGGAAAGGAAAAAGATGGTTAAAGAAGCCCAGAGAGAGAAGAGAAAAACTAAAATCCCAAAGCATGTGAAGAAGCGGAAAGAAAAGACTGCAAAAATGAAGAAAGGCAAATAGAATCAGCTTTGGCTTGAGGAAAGGGATGGTTTGTTGTGTGTTATTTAGTCACCATCTTTTTTTTTTTTTAAATTAAAATCCTTTATTTATATACATACACTATTAACTGTGCGGGTGGTTTTGTTAATAACATAGTGTAATTGAACAGAGTATATGCCATGGGTTTCTCAATAGGAAAGAATGTGCATGTTAAAATCCTTTACCTGTGCAGGTTTAACCTGTTGTTAAATTTGCATTGATTTGTTCCTGGGGTCTTAACTCCCCTGCCTCACACTGCATACAAGCTAGTTTGGTTTGTTCCAGAGCAGTGATTTGATTCAAACAGATTCTCGGAGGAGGGCAAACGGTGATTTAAAGGCCCTTGCCTTCTTCACAGTATGGAAGCAAATTGAGCTAGGTGTCCTCTGCAGACTGTCACAGTCTACCCACGGAAAACTCTGCAGGCATTGTGCCTTTGCTGCCTTCCTGTGCTTGCATCACCTTTAATATTTTCTTACTGAAAGCTGAGTTTTTGATTTGGGAAGCAGCTGTCCTTATTGCCCAGTGCCCTTTTGAAGCAATCGGGCAGGCATACCCAAACAGACCAAAGCCCGATTTTTTTTGTAATTTTTATTTTTGCTTGGATCCCAACACAGGGCAGTGTTGCTCTTAAGAGTATTATGAACCAGGGATTTTGTAAGCTGGTCAAATGAGTATTTGCCATCAAGATTAATCATGTGTGTTTGAATTCAAGGCTGTGTAAAGGCTTGTGGCAGGACCTCTCTGTGGTGTGGCTCAGCATTACCAATCCATGTTGTGCCAAGGTGCCCCAGCTCTTTATTAGGGAGAAGTTGACAGACCTCTGCTCACAAGTGACCCAGTTGGGCTGGGGCAAAGGCACTGTACTGAAGACAGACCAACCTCTCTCTTGGCAGCTGCTTTGGCCACTGAGGCTGACAAGTCTTGAGAGTGGTGTCTGCCTCCTGCTGCAGCACATCAGCTGTCTTTTCCCACTGCGTGCCATTTCAGAACTCCCTGTGCCAGCACAGAGAAAGGTTCTGATTCCAGTAAATGTCTTTGATATATTCTCCTATGTTAGGGGTGGAGTTGATGCCCTGGGGATTTATGCTTACAGGATATACGTTGTCTGATGGCAGAGGACAGCTTTTATCCATCAATGGATATCCAGCAATGATGCGTCGGCCAGGGGCAGAGTGAAGCTTCCTTCTCTGCTCCTCACCTCCCACACCCAAAAGCAAGATGATGTTGGCCAATTGCACACGGGGTTGCACTCCTCAGTTTGACTTTCACAAACTCTTTGGTGCCTTTGACTAGAAATCTGGTAAGAGAGGAACTGGTCAATGCTTCCAGATCTCTATCTGTGCTCCCGTTCTCCCTACCCATACAGGAATTGACAGCACTCTTACGTACAGTATGCATTTAAGTGTAGACAGTATTGCTGGAGCATATTGGGAAGCAAGACTGGTATTTCCTCAGCAAGTGGGGATGTTTGTTGGGAGACTGAGATGAAATACCTGCATTTTGGAAAATGGCATTACATCAGGTGTAAGAAAGGGGGCAGCCTCTAACTTGGTAGTGAAGGAAGGAGGAGGTGCAAGACCTAAGTCCAGAGGTGAGTGTGACTACTGTTGATGGACATTTGTCTTAACACCAAGGGCTGAGATGCTGGCAGATGTACGGACACAATATTTCCTGCTTTTCCTTGCTGTCGTGGGAGCTTGTGTTCTGACGTAATCAGGCAGAGGTGGTCTTGGTGATGGCTGCTCTGAACCAGAGGTGTTCAAAGGTGCAGTGCTAAAGGTGACTGAAACAGTAACAGCTTGGTGCGCTTTGCCCTTGAAATCCTATTTTATTGGGGGATTCTTCCTGCTGACTGACAAGGCTATGGTGTGTGCATCTGCGATAGCAGTTGTGGCTCATGAAGGTGTGTGCACCGGGGGGGGTTGTGCCTGAACTGTTGCCTTCCTCCAGCAACAGGTTGTGCATTAGGCAGACCTCAGCATTTTTGGTGAAGCGGGCTAAGCATAAGTGAATCTCTAAGAAGCTGTGTGTGCTTTAACTTCATGTAGCTCAGCAGTGGATGACTCCACCAGAAAACTGGTCCATGGCTTATCAGTGTGAGTTGGGGGTTGTCAGGCACCAGAGACAACCTTCTTTTCATTGGCACTGGGTGCTCTGAAGACAAGGATAAATGCTAGTTCTTGGCAAAGAGCCTGGAAGCCCCAGAGCCACAGTGCATGTCCCGCTGGGGAGCGTTTACCTCCTTTACCTGAGGAGACACTTCAGAGAAAGGAGGCTGCTATCACCTGTGCTTGAGGGAAGAGGAAATGTCCCAGCCCACATCACCTTATCTTCCCTCCAGGCCGTGCACCACAGCCTGATCAGGTCTGCCTAGCTCTAGCCACCCTGCAGCATGAAGGTGGTCCTCAATCAGTCATTTGGGATTGGAGCCTTGCTCGCAGTGATGTGCAGCAGGATGTCTGTGCAGGCTGTGCAAAGCATGAGCTATCTACCTCAGGTGTTTTCTCTAGGGCATGTTTACATAGGCAGGGTGTTTGCAGAGCACCTGAGGTGGAGCATGCCAGAAAAGCTCATGTTGTGCAAGTGCAGATGGCCTGGGGATAGCTGTTGCAGCTGGCTACGCGCTTGTTGGGTGGGCTGTGAGCGCAGTTCACGTGTCCTGGCCATCGCAGGCTTCAGATGTGTAGAAGAGAGGCAGTCCACAGGAACAGGGTGGACCGGGAGCTCTTTGGGCCAGGACCATGAGATGAGCCATCTTACTGGTGGTCCCTGAAGCAAGAGAATGGCTGTTAAGAAGTGTTAGACATAACTACAGAAAGGCACCGGTCTGATAGGGGGTGGGGAGGATGGGGGTGGGATGGCATGACTTTGTATCCTGTGCTAAAGAAAAAGCTGCAAAGTTCAAAGTAGCACAGATGCTCAGTTATGCTCTGTTGATATCAATGTTTGATGAGATAGGGGGGTTTTTCCCCCCAGAGATTAGGATCTGACAAGGCCCACTCACTTGGCCATATCAGCATGTTTACGGTGCGCTCTGCTGCTGGCATCTGTGCAGACAGGGAAGCATTGCCAGGGCAGGAATGCCAGTACCTTGTATAAGAAGAACTGGGACACAAACAGCCTAAGATAATGCTTCCCCTTTGTCTTCCACTCTTCTCCTCCCTCCCTCCCCTCCCCAAGATTGCACTTACTGGTAGGGCTCTGGGGTCTCTTGTGGGCTATTGCAAGTGTCTCCGTTGTGGAGCTCACCTGATGGCACTCAGCCCTGGAAGGTGGCTCTGGGGTAACTGGTGGGCTGTGGTTCCTGGAGATGACCCTGAGAGGTTACCGCAGTGGTGAGGCTGAATTGTGGGGGTGTGATCCCTACCCTTAAGACTGAGAATTCCCTTCTCCCTTCCCTTGACTGCAAACTTGTTCCTCCTCTGCTCCACTGCTCACTGGGTGTTCCAGTGTCAAAGTGGAGCATCCAGATTATTCCTATTTCCCCCCCCCTCTTTTGAATGAGAACATCTGTACTGAGGTCATGGCATAAACTCGATTGCTTTGTCACTGTGGCTTTGAGAATGTTTCTGCAATCAAGGCTTTTTATATTGTCTGACATGTTTTTCAAAGCACAAATGTTTTGTTATATGTCTTCTCTGAAAATGGATTGGAGTACAATTCGGTCAGGCAATCAGTATGAATTTTTACAGCTGCAAAAGCATAGTTAACTGTCAA